CTCAGAGAAGCTCCAACATGCTACAGTGGGAGTGTAAATCTGAGCACCTACATTAAAAAACAATTTGTCATTAGCCTGTGTATTTGAATTTCCATATCCCATGTTCCACCAGTTCCATTTATATGTGTGCCCCCTGGACAGAGCATCCCTATGATGAACCACTGGTCTCAAGGAGTTTGCCTTCTTACCCAACCAAGGACACAATACAAATATTAGTATTTTTTATGCAAATATTTGCAATTCAAATTACTAGAAAAAAAGTCAGGAAGCACTGACCCAGAGAAACTTCTGCTTTTGTGCACCAGCAGACATTTGCCATTTCTAGCAACACTGTGCATGACAGCAAGAAACCATTAACAACCCAAACATCCAATGACCACAGAACAATCTATAAATCGTCATACTTTCCACAGAGGAATAACATACAGCAGTAAAAAGGAACTACAGCAACACACACCAAAAAAATGGTTGGCTCTCGGAAACAAAAGCTCTAGAGAAAGAAGCTCAAGTTAAAGAAAACCATATACATTCCATAGTTTTGAGAATCTTGAAAACACCAAAGCTAAGTAATATGGTGTTTAGGGACATACGTGACTTTTTTTAATTATTAAAGAAACAAAGAAATGGAAAACATAATATTCAGGATACTGGTTACTTCTGGAGGAAAGAAGTATGTGTGTGTATACATACATATATGTATATGTCAGTATGTACATAAAGGTAGATATGAAAGTATATACCTGATTACCATCTATCCTTTTACATGTATCACATATAAAACAAAAAATTAGGCACAAAGAAAAAGTATAAAAATAGTCTCATATTGACCATGATATCCACATATGCTTATTCTTCAGCTAATCCTTCATTCCATACAATCTTTAAAGTATTTGTTTTTTATTTTACACAATTATTAAGTTGTTGCCATTTTTGCTCTTATCAGAAACATATTTCTCTCATATTTTGGATATAACATTGGTAATTAAAAATCATGCAGGGTAATTGTTCTAATTTTTTAAATGAGCTATAAACAATTTAAATTTAAATTAAATAAATCTAGGAATTACTTAGATTCATCTAAACTTTTATGAAGCTTATTCTGCCTGAACACAGATTTTTTGAACAGTCACTAGAAGTTTTACTAATTAAATATTCAAACTACAATATTTTTCTGAAGTCCTGCTGTCTAAAGCAGAAGTGATAAGTAAAAATTGACCAAAGCCTTTCACAAGAATCTAAGATAGCATTTTAATTTTTAAGATTGCCTCATTTTCATTTAAAGTCCACTTTTTCTTCTTTCACACTTGAAATTCTTCAGCAAACTCTTAGGAGAGACCTGATAACCAGTGGACAGTCCCTGCATGTTTGCCGATTGGCTTAAATACTGACGCAGTCAATCTAGTTGTGATTCAAGTAGTAGGTAGTGTAGACATACAAAGACATACAATCCCAGAAGTGATGAGGGAAATTCTGATTATGCTAATCACAGCTCCCAACAAAATGCTTTGATACACTGTAAAAACGCTGATGTGTGTATTTGCACATACAAATAAGTACCTTATCTATTGTGGGGGGTCCATGTATGGGTGTGTACTTACCATAAGTAGAGTCAGTTTTGAATCATTATGAGTTTTCAGGTGTAAGTGTCATAAAAAAATGGTGTTTAACTGCAATTCAGAATCAATTATGCAGATTCAAATCGATGTTTTGGATGTAAAATGCCTCTCTAGTGAAATCGCTCTAAAGGGTATATGTTTATTGCTCATTTGTTTTTGCCATTATAAACTGAGAATCAATATTGTTCTATTTTTATCTTTAAAAGAATGGGATTAAAATAAGAGAAGGATGCTTATTCCATTTGTGGGGAAAATCATGTGTGATACAGGAAATGGATCAGGGAGGCTTCTGGGGTGTTAAGCTCTAGTTGTCGACTTGAGTGGTGTTTACATGGTGTCACTATATTTTACCAAGAGCGTATATATTTCCCTACAATCTGTTGCATGTTTATTTGGCAATGAGATATTCTAAAGTTATTCTTATGTAAAACTAGTAACAGCGCATGTTCAGTGAGCGTTCTGTGCTAAGAAATTACAACCATTCCACACCTAGTTACGGGTCTCTTACCACTCCCTTCTGAAGTACTAATATCAATGTTATTTTACAGATGAAGTAACTGGGACCGATTTTGGTTAATTTGCTCCTCTCATTTTGGTGGGAACATGAAATTTAAAAGGTAATTTGGGGTTTAAAATTCAGTACATAAGAACACTGTGACTACAATTATTATTTCTTTAGGCTTGTAGTTTAGGAATTTCACCAGACACAATAATGACATGAAAAAAATATCCCTCAAGAAGTTGCATACTCCAATTCCAGGTTTGCTGTGCTATTTGTTTATTACCAATTTTATCTTCAGTAGTCTTGACACCAGGGAAGGAAGGTCTCAGACAGCAATAATGAGTCTGGGGTGAGTAAAAGGAGTACTTCCCTCTAGACATTAATGACATGGAATTCTGGATTAAGTATCAGTCTCCTGTGAATTTAATTCCAGTTTCCTCTGATGGCACCAGTAAATGCAGTAAAATGCAAGTTCTGGTCTTGCAAGGCTGAGAACAACTGGGGGTGATTTTGCCCACAGAGGAAATTTATCAATATCTGGAGACCCTTTGATCTTCACAACCTGGGGGTAACTGCTGGAATCCAGCTGGTGGAGGCCACAGACACTACTAAACATGCTAGAGAGCACAGGGCAGCCCTCCACAGCGAAGAATTATCTCGTCCACAATGTCGACAGTGCAGCAGTTGAGAAACCCTATGCTACACTCTGGTCAAAGCAATGCAATGAACTAGTCTTCCCCTGGACTCATCTGCAGCTAGAACTCTCAGCTGCCTTCCCAATTTCCACAGCATTAGCTCTCATTTACAGCTTTCAGAGGCATGCAACCATCACTCAGAGTGCATAAATATACAGGCATTTAAGTAAGGAGCTTTTCCGATCTGACACAACAGTATTATTTCAGTTCAAAACATAATCATATTGTTTGTTAATTAAGTCCTGTATCAGATCATTATACCATCCTGGTCCCTTAATCAGGAACATATATATGTACATACATTACTATTCTACATATAATAGTATACGCTATCATACACATTTTATATTTCTATATGTACAATATCTATACTTAGAAATATATATTATAATGACATTCCTTTGTGAACACTTCATGTAATTAATAGGAAAGGAAAAAAAAGAAAAACTGAAAAAAGAAAAAATGTAATCAAGTAGGCTGACAACCAGCAAAAGACAATTAAAATTATTCTGTTTTGTTTCTCCATTTCATTAACATGCAAATTAAATTCATGAAGTTTGATGTTGTGGTTCACCGAGAGCTACAGAAATGAATTTAGAATGAAAATGAGTCCCACTGATGGAGATTCCTGATGAGTCTATAAACTCATGAAAACCATGATTTGGTCCAACTAATGACATATATTTTGTGTGATGTATTGAACTTCACCAAATGAAATTAGGATAAATAGTTAAATTTTGTATCTATTTCCATGGGCCAAATTCTATGAAAAGCTTTTATTACTCACATAGAGTGGTGGTAAATGTTAAACTCTGCCTTATTTTAAAAAGGAATATAAGGTGGAGATCTCGCTGTGAGATCGGGGTTGGGATGACAGCATCCCTTCTGGGAGGGCCATGGGTACAGGATCAGACTGGCCCTCAGAGAGGACGGGAGAGCTCACTTGCCTATGGTCAGGAAGGGGTTCAGAACCGCAAATAGGGAGATAGTCTGGTGTGGCCAATAATTCTCATTATGAGACAATAAAAATAACAGGCAAGCATAATCTATACAAATATTATTCAAGGCCACCCAAATGCCCCACCTGACACAAAGACCTCAGTTCTTACTCTCCATTGATGCTCTTCCATTCAAAACACATATAAGTGATTATCTCAAATAATATGAGAGAATTTTTTTAATAAACTAAAATTTTAAATTCTGCTGAAGTGCTGGATATTTACAATGTATACCAGATGGCAAAACACAGACACACAGACACATATGATCTATTTGTTATGTCCGATGTGCAGTGTGCTCTAACATTATGACAGCACCGTGGGTAACATCAAGGAGAAAAATTATAAGAAGTGGCTGACATACGGCATGCGAGAAGGGGATAACAAAAGAGGAAATCGCCATTTTAATAATATACGATGTTGGTACCTATTTTTTTATGGTTGTCAAAAAAAAAATTTTATGGTTGTTTTCTGTGTTATTATTACCAAGCCTCTTTCCATAGAATGTATGTACAGATGGTTTTTGCCTTAGCATGTTATAAAAAGGGACCACAATAATGTTCTGTCTTTAAGTGCACAATGCCTTGAAATTCTTTATTGCTACAGCAAGTTGCCATTTAATTACCTGCACTTGCCTTTAAACATAGTCAAGCAATCAAACACAACCCACCTAAAAGCTAGTCAACAGTATGAACTGAGTATTCCTAAAGGAACATGAGAGCTTATTAAGTGCCCATTCCCCAACAAGAGAAAAAATCATGTCATCCACATTGAGAATTAAACAAACTGAGGGATTTTATTTTTAAATAATTAGCATCTTCTAAAATTACTTCTTGCAAGCTTCCTTGTTTAACTTGAAATAGAGGGCCAATTAAATTCTTATGGCTACTGTATACATAATGATTGCATATTGTTATTGAAAAGTTTACGGTGTAAGATACACAGAAAGCTCACCCAATTGAAAGAATTCAATTCTTTGCTGAAATTATGATACAGGATTTTAAAATAGGATGCATCCCTTTGCCATTCCAGAGCAAGTCCTACAGATTATATATAGCCTTTGAGTTTCTGCCATCTGCTTATTTAGAAATCTACTTTTACCAGACAGCTCTTACAATTATTTTACTAACAGAATAGACAATTACTGAGATTCATCATGAACCAATCCAAGGAAAGAAAACAGACTTACCATCTCTTCGATTAAGCCTTGCAAATCCAGGACCATGGCTGCTGGAAAGCTCAGATGAACTGCTGAATGATGCCTGAGATAAGGAAGACACGAGAGGTTCACCACAATCGTCTGCCAAGAGGAAAAAAAACCCACATTCAGGTTAGGACAGGGCTGACACCTTCTTGGATTCAATAGATAAACCAAACCAAATCAAAGAAAAAATACTAGGATCTCTTATAATACACCCAATGCTTATATGCAATGTTCTACTGGATCTAATAAGTTCAATGAGAAAAGAAAAGACCTTAAACAGAAGAGAAAAGGAAAATTTCATAGAAATTATAAAATAATATCATAGCTTGAGGTAGAAAAGATTTATCAAAGCAAGAAACAAAAGTACCTAATCAGTATACCTAATATAGAAATGAATGTATATAAGAAATGATTTATAAATTCAATTATATCAAAATTAAGATCTTAGGTTACCAAAAGACACTTAGAAACATCACAACATGTAGAAAGTACTTGCAAAACAGTATGCAATTAGTATTCCAAAGTCAGGAAAACCAAATACAATAAAGAAAACCAAAAACTACCTTTAAATCAGTCAGAAAACACACTTGGGAAAAATGGCATAAGGGAAGAGCAGAGAGTTCACAAAACACACTTCACATAAGTTAACACTCAAACTTATCAGTAAAAAGAGATATAAACCAAAACTACAATTAGATATGATTCTACAAACAACAGATTAGCAAGACTTCAGAAGTCTGACAGCACCAGATCTTCCAGACAACATGGGCTCAGAGAAGCTCCAACATGCTACAGTGGGAGTGTAAATCTGAGCACCTACATTAAAAAACAATTTGTCATTAGCCTGTGTATTTGAATTTCCATATCCCATGTTCCACCAGTTCCATTTATATGTGTGCCCCCTGGACAGAGCATCCCTATGATGAACCACTGGTCTCAAGGAGTTTGCCTTCTTACCCAACCAAGGACACAATACAAATATTAGTATTTTTTATGCAAATATTTGCAATTCAAATTACTAGAAAAAAAGTCAGGAAGCACTGACCCAGAGAAACTTCTGCTTTTGTGCACCAGCAGACATTTGCCATTTCTAGCAACACTGTGCATGACAGCAAGAAACCATTAACAACCCAAACATCCAATGACCACAGAACAATCTATAAATCGTCATACTTTCCACAGAGGAATAACATACAGCAGTAAAAAGGAACTACAGCAACACACACCAAAAAAATGGTTGGCTCTCGGAAACAAAAGCTCTAGAGAAAGAAGCTCAAGTTAAAGAAAACCATATACATTCCATAGTTTTGAGAATCTTGAAAACACCAAAGCTAAGTAATATGGTGTTTAGGGACATACGTGACTTTTTTTAATTATTAAAGAAACAAAGAAATGGAAAACATAATATTCAGGATACTGGTTACTTCTGGAGGAAAGAAGTATGTGTGTGTATACATACATATATGTATATGTCAGTATGTACATAAAGGTAGATATGAAAGTATATACCTGATTACCATCTATCCTTTTACATGTATCACATATAAAACAAAAAATTAGGCACAAAGAAAAAGTATAAAAATAGTCTCATATTGACCATGATATCCACATATGCTTATTCTTCAGCTAATCCTTCATTCCATACAATCTTTAAAGTATTTGTTTTTTATTTTACACAATTATTAAGTTGTTGCCATTTTTGCTCTTATCAGAAACATATTTCTCTCATATTTTGGATATAACATTGGTAATTAAAAATCATGCAGGGTAATTGTTCTAATTTTTTAAATGAGCTATAAACAATTTAAATTTAAATTAAATAAATCTAGGAATTACTTAGATTCATCTAAACTTTTATGAAGCTTATTCTGCCTGAACACAGATTTTTTGAACAGTCACTAGAAGTTTTACTAATTAAATATTCAAACTACAATATTTTTCTGAAGTCCTGCTGTCTAAAGCAGAAGTGATAAGTAAAAATTGACCAAAGCCTTTCACAAGAATCTAAGATAGCATTTTAATTTTTAAGATTGCCTCATTTTCATTTAAAGTCCACTTTTTCTTCTTTCACACTTGAAATTCTTCAGCAAACTCTTAGGAGAGACCTGATAACCAGTGGACAGTCCCTGCATGTTTGCCGATTGGCTTAAATACTGACGCAGTCAATCTAGTTGTGATTCAAGTAGTAGGTAGTGTAGACATACAAAGACATACAATCCCAGAAGTGATGAGGGAAATTCTGATTATGCTAATCACAGCTCCCAACAAAATGCTTTGATACACTGTAAAAACGCTGATGTGTGTATTTGCACATACAAATAAGTACCTTATCTATTGTGGGGGGTCCATGTATGGGTGTGTACTTACCATAAGTAGAGTCAGTTTTGAATCATTATGAGTTTTCAGGTGTAAGTGTCATAAAAAAATGGTGTTTAACTGCAATTCAGAATCAATTATGCAGATTCAAATCGATGTTTTGGATGTAAAATGCCTCTCTAGTGAAATCGCTCTAAAGGGTATATGTTTATTGCTCATTTGTTTTTGCCATTATAAACTGAGAATCAATATTGTTCTATTTTTATCTTTAAAAGAATGGGATTAAAATAAGAGAAGGATGCTTATTCCATTTGTGGGGAAAATCATGTGTGATACAGGAAATGGATCAGGGAGGCTTCTGGGGTGTTAAGCTCTAGTTGTCGACTTGAGTGGTGTTTACATGGTGTCACTATATTTTACCAAGAGCGTATATATTTCCCTACAATCTGTTGCATGTTTATTTGGCAATGAGATATTCTAAAGTTATTCTTATGTAAAACTAGTAACAGCGCATGTTCAGTGAGCGTTCTGTGCTAAGAAATTACAACCATTCCACACCTAGTTACGGGTCTCTTACCACTCCCTTCTGAAGTACTAATATCAATGTTATTTTACAGATGAAGTAACTGGGACCGATTTTGGTTAATTTGCTCCTCTCATTTTGGTGGGAACATGAAATTTAAAAGGTAATTTGGGGTTTAAAATTCAGTACATAAGAACACTGTGACTACAATTATTATTTCTTTAGGCTTGTAGTTTAGGAATTTCACCAGACACAATAATGACATGAAAAAAATATCCCTCAAGAAGTTGCATACTCCAATTCCAGGTTTGCTGTGCTATTTGTTTATTACCAATTTTATCTTCAGTAGTCTTGACACCAGGGAAGGAAGGTCTCAGACAGCAATAATGAGTCTGGGGTGAGTAAAAGGAGTACTTCCCTCTAGACATTAATGACATGGAATTCTGGATTAAGTATCAGTCTCCTGTGAATTTAATTCCAGTTTCCTCTGATGGCACCAGTAAATGCAGTAAAATGCAAGTTCTGGTCTTGCAAGGCTGAGAACAACTGGGGGTGATTTTGCCCACAGAGGAAATTTATCAATATCTGGAGACCCTTTGATCTTCACAACCTGGGGGTAACTGCTGGAATCCAGCTGGTGGAGGCCACAGACACTACTAAACATGCTAGAGAGCACAGGGCAGCCCTCCACAGCGAAGAATTATCTCGTCCACAATGTCGACAGTGCAGCAGTTGAGAAACCCTATGCTACACTCTGGTCAAAGCAATGCAATGAACTAGTCTTCCCCTGGACTCATCTGCAGCTAGAACTCTCAGCTGCCTTCCCAATTTCCACAGCATTAGCTCTCATTTACAGCTTTCAGAGGCATGCAACCATCACTCAGAGTGCATAAATATACAGGCATTTAAGTAAGGAGCTTTTCCGATCTGACACAACAGTATTATTTCAGTTCAAAACATAATCATATTGTTTGTTAATTAAGTCCTGTATCAGATCATTATACCATCCTGGTCCCTTAATCAGGAACATATATATGTACATACATTACTATTCTACATATAATAGTATACGCTATCATACACATTTTATATTTCTATATGTACAATATCTATACTTAGAAATATATATTATAAATATGTGTAATTATAATACATATGTGTACATACAAATATATGTCACAATATACATATGTATTATATATTATAATGAATACATGTACATATATAATGTATATATAAGCCGACCCTGTATAAATACTAAGTTGGCCATCAAAACATAAGTGTGAGGGCACACACTTATTGTGTGGTATATGTATGTACATATCTATATATGGATACATATCATATAATCATATACATATAAACATGTTAATAATACATATGTGTGTACATGTTTACATTTATATACATTAACATGCATGTATTTACATGTGTAAATATACTGTATATTATGTGTATACTATACAATGACCTTATAATATTATTTATATAAAATATAAATATTACATAGTATAAATATATGCTATTACAGAATATAAACATATATAGTATACTACATGTACTATGGTTACATATTATATGTACATTACATTACCTATGTGCAATTTACGTATCTACACACGCAAACGTATAGTGCGCAACTATTGCCACCTTTGCACCCACTGCTGCGAGTCCGCAGATGACGGCCCCCCGCGGAAGCTGCCAAGCTGGGAGCCTGTGCTAACTGGAGTGTAGCGGTTGGGCCTGGACCCTGCACCTCCGCAGTCCCTCCACCCAGAACAAGCGAGAGGCTCAGACCGCTGCCCTCACCTCAGCCCCAGGGCTCTCCCGGGGCAGCGCCTGCTCACCTCTCTCCTGCTTCCTGCACGTCCCTGGCATGTGTGTGCCGCTTGCTCCCTTTCTGATGGGCTTTCGCTTTGCGTTGCCAGGGAGGCCCTAGCTCCCAGCTCCCAGCTCCCCTGACGCTCTCTTTTGACACCAAGAAGGAAGGTTTCTGAATTTCAGGAGCAGAGCGGCCCTCTCCAGCTTTTAGGATGAGCCCTGGGAGGCTGAGGCCTTCCTGGTCCCAGGGCTGCTTTTGGTACCGCCGCCTCCTGCACACGGGATGGACAGAGCTGTCTACCTTCCAGCAGAAGAGCCACGGCTTGCATCCCGCTATCCCCGAGACCGACGTGGAGAGGTACCAGGGCAGCGTCGCTCCGGGCTTAGGGCTGCCGTGTTGCATGCTGGGAATCAGCTCCCTCCCCCCACCCCACCT